TATTGAGAGAAATTGTCCTTGGCGTTTGAGAGCGGTGAAGATAGAAAGTGGTGAAATTTTTGTAGTACGTAAATATGTTGGTAATCACACTTGCTCTATGAGTGTGCGCCGTAAAGATCACAGGCATGCAACGTATAAGCTGATTGGGAAGCACATTTCCGAAAAGTATAAAGATGTCAATCGGATTTATAAACCGAATGATATTATTTTTGATGTCCAAGAGAAGTTCGGGATAACTATCAGCTATACAAAAGCATTTATGGCAAAGCATTATGGATTTGGTCTCATTCGAGGTTGCCCAGAAGAAAGTTACGCAAAGCTCCCCCAATATTGTTACGTTTTGGAGCAAAAAAACCCTGGGACGGTCACTTTCATAGAGACAAGTGTGGATGGCCATTTTAAATATTTTTTCATGGCTTTGGGACCGTGCATTCGTGGATTCCACTCTTCCATCAGAAGAGTAATATCTGTGGATGGTACATTCTTGACCGGGAGATATCGTGGTACTTTGCTCATTGCAACATGTCAAGATGCAAATCTTCAAATTTATCCACTTGCTTGGGCAATAGTAGACTCTGAGAACCATCTTTCTTGGACTTTCTTCTTTGAAAAGTTGAAAGATATAACAGGCGATTCTCCCGATCTTGTTATAGTTTCGGATAGGGGAACAAGTATTCCTGGTGCTTTTAATACAGTGTTTGAACATGCACACCATGGATGGTGTAACTATCACTTGCTGAGAAACTTAAAATCTGAGTTTCCAAGGTTGGAATTGGATGCATTCTTTTGGGCAACAGCCGAAGCATACACGATACCTGATTTCGAATTCAACATGGCAGCATTATGCAATAATAATCAGCGAATGCGGACATACCTAGAGAAAGCTGATTTGCCCCGTTGGGCCAGAGCACATTTTAGAGCAACTCGTTTCAACATAATGACAACAAACAATGCTGAATCGTTGAACTCTGTGTTGAAGCGTGGTCGAGAATTTCCTATCCTTGGCCTAATTGAACATATCAGGGCGACACTGCAAAAGTGGTTCCACGAAAGAAATCTTGCCTCTACAAATTGCAGTAGCTTTCTTACCCCACCATTTGAGGAGAAAATGCGGAATAGATACGACGAGTCCAACGGACTACAAGTGTTGCATGTAACACCAATGATTTTGCAAGTTGGTGGAAGACATGTCGTTGATCTCGACCAAACGTCATGCTCATGTGGAAAATTTCAAATGGATCATTTTCCATGTTCGCATGCCATTGCCGCAATAAAAAATTTGAATAACAACGGCTACAATTTCTGCACTTTAATGTATTCGAGCTCTGCTTGGAGAGAGGCATACTCTGAACCTATTCATCCTTTGCCCAATGAAACCGATTGGATCGTTCCAGAAGAAATTATGTCAAGAATTGTGTTGCCTCCACCATCACGACGTCCAAGGGGCAGACCTACATTCGAAAGGAAAAAATCGGCAGGTGAGGCTCGAAGAAAATCAACTACTACTAAACCTCGCCAAATTCGTAAATGTAGTAGGTGTTCCAAAGTCGGCCATAATCGTGTAAGGTGTCCAGAGAAAAACCTCAATGAAGCAACTTGAAGTTATATTTTGATTAGTGTATTGCTTTTGACTTTGTAATCTTTTTGTATAGTGTTTTTACTCGACCATATAGTGTTTTAACTTGTTGTTTGTTGTTTTTGATGTCTTCTCCAATTCATTGAAGTGAGTTGCTAAAGTTTGAAATTATATTTTGTCTTGTGTTTAATTTTTTATGTGTATCCAATGTAGTGATTGTTGAAAATATTAAGGGTAATTGATTCACCTAATGTACTTATTGAACAATTGTTATAGGCAATTTGGAAACAAACGATTATAGTCTCGTTTTATAGTATTATATAGTAGTAGTACATTAAAAAGGCTAAAAACGAAAGTACAGTCGTTATCAAGCATGAAATAACGAAGGTATTATCGTTATCTCTATCGCGGGCGAGATAGTTATCACAGCAGCGACCCTGAAGGTTAAGATCCGTTGGGCAGAGAGCTTACCAGGTTGTCGCGGCCGCGATAGGTATCGGGGGCGCGACCCTCTGCTTTTCTTTTTTGGACAGAGAGCTGTCCAGGATGTCGCGGGCGCGACAGGAAATATGGAGCTGCAGAAGGCTCGCGACGGCCTGTCCCGGGCGCGACAGACAGGTTGTCGCGGGCGTTTTTTAGTTATTTTTTGAAAAACGGATAGATAATGTAGAATAGTTGTTTATTCGTTATTTTACACTAAAAATGACTAAAAATAGACCTATGACGAGTTTAATATTTTTATAATGTATTAAGTGACGAATGCACGATCGCTTAAGGTGGATTGTATCGGAAAAAAACCATAACGACTGTACATTCGTTATAAAGAATATACATTCGTTATACGTTTTTTCCACAACAACCGCGCTTTCTTCATGGCTTTTTTGATCGAATTACTTGATAACGATTTTATATTCATGTTACATGTCATTGGAACTATAGTGTGAAGTTTTTAGAGCGTCGAAACACTCACAACGAAACTATTTTTTAAAATAACAAAACTTGTTCTTTATTTTTTTTTTGAAAAATGGAAAAATGATGTAAAATCTTTGTGAATTCGTTATTTTACATGCAAAATGAGTAGAATTGTACCCACAAAGAGTGTAATATCATTGTGATTGATTATATGTCGAGTTTTGGGTGTTTTTGATCGAAAATGAACCATAACGAGTGCACTTTCGTTATAACGAATGTACATTCGTTATGGTTCAAACCGCAACGAAAGTGCTCCCGTTTTTGGTTTTTTTTATGGAATCACGTGTAAAACATTGTTCCCGGTCATACATCAACTTTGAACGATAGCTTTGCCCCGTTCGAGCGTGGAAATACTCATAACGAAATGGAAATACACATGAATATCCTTCTCTATTTTTTTTTTGTATTCTTGGAAAATGGTTGGATGAATCTTTGTGAATTCGTTATTTTACCTGAAAAATGAGTAGAATTGTACCCACAAAGAGTGTAATATCATTGTGATTGATTATATGTCGAGTTTTGGGTGTTTTTGATCGAAAATAAACCATAACGAGTGCACTTTCGTTATAACGAATGTACATTCGTTATGGTTCAAACCGCAACGAAAGTGCTCCCGTTTTTGGTTTTTTTTTATGGAATCACGTGTAAAACATTGTTCCCGGTCATACATCAACTTTGAACGATAGCTTTGCCCCGTTCGAGCGTGGAAATACTCATAACGAAATGGAAATACACATGAATATCCTTCTCTATTTTTTTTTTGTATTCTTGGAAAATGGTTGGATGAATCTTTGTGAATTCGTTATTTTACCTGAAAAATGAGTAGAATTGTACCCACAAAGAGTGTAATATCATTGTGATTGATTATATGTCGAGTTTTGGGTGTTTTTGATCGAAAATGAACCATAACGAGTGCACTTTCGTTATAACGAATGTACATTCGTTATGGTTCAAACCGCAACGAAAGTGCTCCCGTTTTTGGTTTTTTTTATGGAATCACGTGTAAAACATTGTTCCCGGTCATACATCAACTTTGAACGATAGCTTTGCCCCGTTCGAGCGTGGAAATACTCATAACGAAATGGAAATACACATGAATATCCTTCTCTATTTTTTTTTTGTATTCTTGGAAAATGGTTGGATGAATCTTTGTGAATTCGTTATTTTACCTGAAAAATGAGTAGAATTGTACCCACAAAGAGTGTAATATCATTGTGATTGATTATATGTCGAGTTTTGGGTGTTTTTGATCGAAAATGAACCATAACGAGTGCACTTTCGTTATAACGAATGTACATTCGTTATGGTTCAAACCGCAACGAAAGTGCTCCCGTTTTTGGTTTTTTTTATGGAATCACGTGTAAAACATTGTTCCCGGTCATACATCAACTTTGAACGATAGCTTTGCCCCGTTCGAGCGTGGAAATACTCATAACGAAATGGAAATACACATGAATATCCTTCTCTATTTTTTTTTTGTATTCTTGGAAAATGGTTGGATGAATCTTTGTGAATTCGTTATTTTACCTGAAAAATGAGTAGAATTGTACCCACAAAGAGTGTAATATCATTGTGATTGATTATATGTCGAGTTTTGGGTGTTTTTGATCGAAAATGAACCATAACGAGTGCACTTTCGTTATAACGAATGTACATTCGTTATGGTTCAAACCGCAACGAAAGTGCTCCCGTTTTTGGTTTTTTTTTTATGGAATCACGTGTAAAACATTGTTCCCGGTCATACATCAACTTTGAACGATAGCTTTGCCCCGTTCGAGCGTGGAAATACTCATAACGAAATGGAAATACACATGAATATCCTTCTCTATTTTTTTTTTGTATTCTTGGAAAATGGTTGGATGAATCTTTGTGAATTCGTTATTTTACCTGAAAAATGAGTAGAATTGTACCCACAAAGAGTGTAATATCATTGTGATTGATTATATGTCGAGTTTTGGGTGTTTTTGATCGAAAATGAACCATAACGAGTGCACTTTCGTTATAACGAATGTACATTCGTTATGGTTCAAATTCGATCAAAAACACCCAAAACTCGACATATAATCAATCACAAAGATATTACACTCGTTGTAAATGAATGAGTTCGATGTCGAGATCCGGGAATTAAAGCGAGTAACATTATATTGATTTTTAAACAAATGTTAAAAAGAAAACCAAAAAAACAAAAAAAATTAACTGGCCCGCGACAGCCTCTGTATCGCGGGCGTGACTGGGCCTCGCGCGGTTCTGTGGCACCATATATGGTGTCGCGCCCGCGACATAGTGTCGCGCACGCGACGACCTAGAAGCGCGGTTGTCACGCCCGCGATCTTTGTCGCGCCCTGGACCCTAAACCCTATAAATAAACGCCCCGCCCCCGCCCGTTCTTTCCCCGCATTCATTTTTCAAAACCAACTCTTAAGAGAAGAAAAAAAAAAAAAAGAAAAACCGCTCCGCTCGAGAAAATCGTTCCTTTCATCTCCAATCTCCGGCGACAACACCACCTGTTTCCGACCGGCAAGGACACTCCCTCTTTCCGGCAACTTTTATTGCGGCAAGGTTGTCTTCTCGTAAGCCCTAATTGCCAAAAGCCATTCCGACAAACATCGTCCTCTCGACTTCAACACACGGTAAGGTCTCGCAAATTGCTTGAATAGTATAGTTACAAATTAATTGTTTGTGGTTTGATGAATCTACCTCTCTTCCTTTTTCACAATTTTCAAACACATTATTGCGCACACAAGGTGTTCGAGAAATTGTCACAACTAGGTAAGAGGGCTATATCGCTTGCATCCACTTACTTCCTTCGAGAGTATTCAATAACCGATCATGGGAAAGGCTTCGTCATCAAAAGCTCCCTCCAAAGGAAACAACCAAGGCAAAAGAAAAGCAATTACGAGAACCCCGCCTTCACCGGACTCGAACAATAGCAACTCGAACTCGGACACCGAAACTCAAACTTTGGCTCAAAAGCACGGCATTCCGTTCCCAGTTTTCTCTCAAGATGAGGTGCACTCGTACAAACGCCTCATGAAGATGAAATGCCGGATCCCAAGGACACTTGATTGGGAGTTGCTAGACTCATTAAAAATCTCGGATGACGTGAGGAAGTACTTGAAGGCACTCAATCTTGAGAAGTACGAAGCCATGGACAATGTGGCATGCGAGGAACTATCGGTTGAATTTTTTACCACATTTGTACCACAAGACAAAGGCAAGTCTTTCACTTTTCGGATGAAAGGGGAAGAATACAAGGTTGATAACAAGATCATGCGTGAGGTCTTTGGTTTCCGCACGACGGGGTCTCGCCAAGTACCCGGTGATTTTGACGTACACAAGCATTGGGCCGTTCTCTCTCCATGCCACAAATTCAAAGTAAAGGGCCCATCAAATGGGCTAATCAAAGATGTGGCCATTGCAGTGGTACATAAATTTCTGTGCTACAATGTTTTTGGCAAGAAAGACTCCAACAAGGTTAGCGAGAAAGAAGTTTATCTCTTGTCGGCAATGTGTGCAAAGAAGCCCATATGCATTACTGCATTTGTTAAAGAAACACTCCGGGAAACGATCATCTTCGCCAACCGCCCTCCGAGATTGGCCAATGTCGTCACCGCACTCGCTAAGCACTTCAAAGTTCAAATTGATGAAGTGCCGCTTCAACCGAAGAAGATCGTGTTGTGGGATTTGACGAAAGCCGAGCTCGTTTCAAACAGCACCACGATCATTGATTACAAATTTCGATGTTGCTACAAGGCATATATGGCAGAGCTGAAAAAATCGTCCGAAGTAGGTAGTTCCTCTCAGCCACCACCTGATACCGAGGACGAGGCAGAGGACGATGAAACACAGACCAACCCGATGGACTATTTCCTCCCTCCACCAGTTGACGCGGGCGCTCCGGATGCGCTATCTCAACAAGCCCCCGCTTGGTTCGATAACTTCATTGCGCATAATGATAGGCGTTGGGATGAGCACAACAAGAGGCTCGATACCTTCATTGAGCATAATGATAGGCGTTGGGAGGAGCACAACAAGAGGATCGATGAACGTTGGACCCAATGGGAGTCTCGGCAATTTGATCAGTGGAAACAATGGGGCGACCAGTTCAAGCAATGGGACGTTCGCTTGAGTTCAGGCCGCAGCCTACCCTACCCTCCACCTCAACCTCCACCTCCACCTCCACCTCCACCTCCAACATCGGATGCAACGGATGCACAGTGACAGTGCGTTGTTTTTAGGCAAAGACTTTTATTCCAGACTTCATAATTATCAGTTTTATCTTTTGGATTTGGTTTGACTTATGGATTTAGTTTGTCTTTTTTGGTATTGTATTTTCTTATGGATTTGGATTGTCTTTTGGATTCGACATTTGGATTTTCAGTTTTCTTTTTTCTATTGCAATGTGGATTTCATTCATGATTTGGTTTGTGTTTAGATCGCAAAATAATCATAACGAATGTACATTCGTTATCGAATACACCATAACGAATGTAAATTCGTTATGGTTATTTTTCAATCAAATACAACGATTCTTCATGATCTTTCCATTTCTGAAAGAAAACAAGTATCGTTATTTCTCAAAATAAGTTTCGTCGCGACCTAAAATCGATAAAAAAAAATTTAATGAAATAATAAAAAATAAAAAAAAGACCGCGACAGGAGCTTCTGCAGCTTGACATTTCCTGTCGCGGGCGTGACGATCACCGCGGGCGAGACACTAAAGGGGACAGAACCCTTCCCAGGATGTCGCGGGCGCGACTGGCACCGCGGGCGCGACACTGTAGGGGACAGAACCCTTCCCAGGATGTCGCGGGCGCGACTGGCACCGCGGGCGCGACACTGAAGGGGACAGAACCCTCGCCAGTATGTCGCTGGCGCGACGACCGCCGCGGGCGCGACGATCTGCTTTTCTTTTTTGGACAGAGAGCTGTCCAGGATGTCGCGGGCGCGATGCTTGCCGCGGGCGCGACAGGGAAGGGGACAGAACCCTTGCCAGAATGTCGCGGGCGTGACGATCTCCGCGGCCGCGACTCTGGATTTTATATAATTTTTTTTTAAACAATTAAAAAAAACATTAATACAAGGTTCCTCGGCTTAATTCCGGGATCTCAGCATCGAACTCCTTCAATCGGGTTGCGAAGGGCTGATAAAATGCTATTATAAAGAAGGTACATTCAAAATGTAATGCTGGTAATAGCTGTTCAAGAAATACATTAGGTGAATTAAATGCTGGTAATACATTAGGCAAATACGTGAAATAACAATACACCAGTCAAAAACAACTTCAAAACTTAACAACTCGTTTCATTGCACTGAAAAACACATAAAAAATAATACAACAGTCAAAATGTGATATCCAAAACATCCCTACAAGCCATTGAATATTCAACTCCTAAAACAAATTAAGGATCAAAATGCTGTGCAAAAATTTCAGCTGCTAGTTTGATACGCCAAGAGGGAATCATTTTTTGCTCTACGCCTTTAACATCCTTCCCAGCATGCAAAAACTCGATGAACTTGATTGTAAACATCCCACAGTCAAACCTGTAATATAAATGTACAATATCTATTAGTTTACCAAGTTTGATAATACATTTATAATCATGATATGATGAAAATATATGTTATACATACCCATTTGCTTGGCTAGGACATGGTAATCGTTTCAAATCAAATTTTTCTGCACTGTAGGTAGCATTCAACATCCTCATTAGCAAAGGTATGACAACTCGAATGGGCTCCAATTCCGTTTCAAATTGTCGCTTCCGCATGACACTCGTTGAACTATCATATGCATCAATGCATCTTTTGGAGAGATCAATGTCGAGTGCTACCCAATGATCATTATTCACATTACAAAAGGGAACATACAATTTGGTACAACTAGTCCACGGCCTTGCATGAGTGGGTAGTTTCCCTTCGGCGTACTTAACTAATGCCTTTGGAAAATTTGTCCTATCAAAGCTTTCAACTTTTGACGCGTCTTTAAAGAACATTCTTATATAAGACACAAAATGCGGGTCCAACATGACACAATCTTGTCTAAACAAGAGAGGGTACTCTATAGCCCGACCTCTCATGTGAAAAAGAGCTGCATCTACATGCTAAGAGTATATAATGTTTATTAGATTAGTAAATGTCATGTTTAGAGAGTAAAATCTGGAAAAAAAAAATTAAATACTTTACCTCACTACAAAGCCATTTATCGTCCAGAATGTCATTAAAAAATTTTTTCCCTGCGCTACCCTTACCCCAAGCTACGTCAATTTCATCACTACATAAAAAATGGGTAAATTAAACAAAGACAGACAACCTTATATATTAGAATGAGATAGCCCACAATTAACTTAACACAAATACATACCTTTCTGGGGAGTTCGCCAACCACTGCCTTAAATCCTCAAGTTTAGCTTCATCCAATGTCCTATGAGGGTCGTACTCCGTCACATTTGAAATTTTTTGTCTTTTTCCGGGATTCCTCCACGGAGTAAGTAGGATGGCGGCCTTTCTTTTCTTCCGGTGGCCTCTTCCCTTAGGAGACTCGGGTGCATCATCTTCATCGGTTTCCTCGATCTCCAAATGTCGTTCTTGGAACATCGTTGATGACGGGTCGGTCACAACACCTACAATAGGCAAGAAAACAATCAATACTCATTTATTAGAAAGAATAAATTATCAAATTACGTATAATTACAATTACATTTTACATACCGGTATCCAATCCATGTTCATTCTTCTTTGGTGAGACAGCCTTCTCAGAAAATTTGTCTTCGACCAAGACAACTTTATCTTTTGCCCTCATCTCCAAGCCCACGTCATCATTAACTCCCACCTTTTCTTTCTCGGGCATGGGAGATGGTGAATTGATCGTGTCTGCAAAAGAAGACAAAAAAATTATGTAATTCAACAATATGTTGCATTTGTTTTAAAATATATCTTTATGTAAAAAAAATATTACAAGAACTTGTTCTATTTATTTTTTTAATACTCGATTAATAACATTAATATGATGTATCTATTTTAAGAGAATACCTTCAACACCATCTACTGTTCGAGCGGTCTCCGTATCAACATTTGTCCCGTCATATGTAGCACGGGTAGATGGACTATCTTTTGATTGAAAAACTAAATCTTTTATTCGCTCAAAAAACTTGTCCATCTTCACATCCATTCGCTCAGAAAACTTGTCCATCTTCATTTCCATTTGCTCAGAAAATAATCTCATCTCATCCTTCACAACCTCCTTGACTATAGCTGAAATCTCTTCAGCACCAAAAACTTGCTGTTGTGGTGGATCAGACTGAGATGCATCATTTTTTTCTTCTTCCTCTTCCTCATCATCCTCATCCTCATTTTCTTCTTCTTCTTCTTCTCCTCCTTCTTCTTCTTCTTCCTCATCTTCAGGGACAATACGGAATTCCTTCAAGTATGAACTTTGAACTTCATCCCTTGAAGGTTGTAATGTTCGTCGAACTTTAACCTGATTATAGTATAATTAGTTTTTTAAAAACTATAAGAATAAATAAGATGAATTATCCATAACAAAAATTACCTCCGACGTGTTGAAAAACGTACTAAGTTGCTCGCTTCGCCACTGTTTTGTCATTTTCCAAGACAAAATTCTCGGATGACTGCCACCGACACCACAAGTTTCAGCAAATTTTTTTCCAAGCTCAGGCAGTGCCTCAAATGCCCAAACCTAATTAGCAAACAACCAAAAAAAAAATTAAGAATACAATTAACATAAATAAATAAAAAAGTGTATAAATATATATTTATATGAAAAATACCATGATAGCTAGGGGAAATCCATGCAAAGAATACTTCATCTCTGAATTTTTTATACTATCAAACCTCTTCCGCTTGAACAACTTTACGGTGTACTCGTATGACAAGTTCCCCCAAGGATAGCGATTGAACTCCTCCAAATTTTCAACGAGATGAAACCATTTTTCATCCACAAGAGTCCGGCACTCGTTAGACAAAACCACATGCTCCAGGACCGTGAGAAGCCCCAATTTGTATATCAAATCTGCATCTCCCTTCTTCTTTACCAAATCATCAAATTTCTTGAGCAACTCTTTCTTTGTTAGCTTCCCTCGCTTCCCTTTGAATAAATGCAAAAGCGAACTACTTCTTTCCGGGACCTCGTACGAATCCACATCATGCACAATTTTTAATCCGGTTACAAGAGAAAATTCTTGTAACCCGAATCTAGCTTTTTTTTCTCCAAATTTGAACCAGACAGCGTCTTTTTCGTTCTCGGATGATTTCAAAGTCCTTTGAAGAAGGTGGTGGATTATTTGAGACGCCAATTTCAAATTGGGAATGTGCACTAGTGGCCGGAAGCATGATTGCACAAATAGAGCTTTATGTGCATCATCTAGCTTCTCCAATACATGATTGGCAACCTTGAGGTCGCACCTATTGGTCACGACTCCTGAGCATGACGAAGGTATATCGTATGCTAACTCCATTTCCGTTCCTAAAAGAAGAGAACAAAGACAACTCATTTAAAGAAAATAAACTCATTTTTCTTCAATTAACACATAACAAATAAACTCATTCTTCTTCCAAAAAATTCTTCTTCAACATCATTCTTCTTCTTCAATTAACACATAACAAATAAACTCATTTTTCTTCTTCAATTTTTAATGCATTCTATAATTTTCTAAAACGAAACAAGTATCGTTATCTCATAAAATGAGTTTCGTTATAAATATTATGATACTATAACTGAGGAGCTCGATGCATTCGCAGTATAATGCTACTTTACTTAAAAAATACGACCTAACGTGTATTTGACCTATGAGTTTTTGATGAGTGCAATAGCCAACAACATGAGAGTTGCAAACAAAATAACAAGGCCATATTCACCTGGACATTTAAGTACCAAACAAAGCACAAAGAGATACTCTACAAAGAAATCAATGACGAAGGAACTATTTGAATACTCTACTCAGCCACATAATGAGTAACAACATGAGAGTTGCAAACAAAATAACATGTAACAAATGGGGCCAAACAAAAATCATAACCAACACTTTTCTTTTCTACTTTTTTCTGAAGCATCAAACCAAGCATACAAGGCTTTAAGGATTGGTTTTAAACCTCTGAAAATAACCACAAATTCAGCATGTAAAACACATCTCACAACCTCAACAATCACAAATTACCCAACAGTTTTCTTTTTCTAAATCTTTTCCTTAAACCTTTTTTATCATCAATAAGGCTACATAACTGGTCCTTAAATCTCTAAAATTACCCAACTTTTGGAAACTAAAACACAACATAACATGTCTTCAAGATATCTTAACAATTCAAGGAATTCATCACAATGTAAATTCGTTATATATTATATTATTAACATATAATTCATCACAATGTAAATCCTAAGTCGATACCCTTTAATCTTTAAAAGGGTATTAAACACAGAAAATCTCGTTAAATATTACTATAAAATGAGAATATAGTCATTTCCAAAATTTCTATAACGAATGTACATTCGTTATATATTACATTACAAACATATAAGTCTCATTATTTTCAATTTATCAACTCAATCCTACAACCATTTCATCAAACACTTAGAGTGCACCAATTTACCATCTTACAAGTATTTCATCAAACACATAGAGGGCACCAATTCACCAACCAAATCCTACAACCAAATCCTACAAACATTTCAACCATTAACCTCACTTTCACCATGCATAACACATATTAAACATTCAAAAAAATGTAATTAATAACACAAATGGCTCAACAACATTATAACCTTAACACAAAAAAAAATACAAAAGCTGGAAAAAAAATGTACCCTAAACAAAAATTCGTACCAGAATTGACATGAAGAGATAGTTCCATAGTGACCGGTGCGAGAAGGAAGGTCGAGAGAGCAGGTTTGTTGCGAGAGAGAGAGAGAACAGAGAGAGCCGTCGAGAGAGAGAGACGAAACAGCGGGAAAAAAATGAGGGAGAAGGAAGAAGAAGAAAATAGAAAGAAAAGAAAAGCAGAGAATTTTTTTTTTAGCCTAAAAGAAATAGAAAACACAAATTTTAGCCATGATGTTAGAAAAACATCTTTTTTAGCCATTTTGGCACTTAAAAGTACCATATTACCCTTACTAACTAATTTCTTAAAAACAAATCATAAATACTTTCTCTTTCAAATATCAATTCAAACACTCAAAAGGTACATTACGTGAAAAATTTCTCTCTTCTCTCTTCCTCAATCTAATCTTTCTCTCATCTCTTTTCCCTATAATATTTCTCTCTATTTTACAAAAAAAAAAAGCATTACTTTCTTCATATCTAAAAAATCCGGTACATTACGTGAAAATCTCGGAAAGTTATTGGCATAAAGGTATGTTTACAATTTTTCATGTTTTTCTAATGGGTCAATTTCGTACACTCAATTTTTTGAAGAAAATTGCTGTAAAATGAAGATAGTGAAAAAAAAAAGAATCGTCAATTTCTGGGGTACAGAAATCTATTTCTGGTGTCCAGAAACTATTTCTGGGCCCCAGAAACGATTTCCGGGGCCCAGAAACGATTTCTGGGATCAGAAATCGTTTCTGGGGCCCAGAAATCGTTTATGGGATTTTACCATTTCTGGAATCAGAAATCGTTTCTGGACCCCGGAAATCATTTCTGAACCCCCGAAATCGTTTCTGCTACCAGAAATCATTTCTGGGAATTTTGGATTTCTGGGATCAGAAATCATTTCTGGGGTCAAGAAACGATTTCTGATTCCGGAAATCGTTTCAGTGTCCCAGAAATCGTTTCTTGCCACAGAAATCGTAAAAATTTCAGAAACGATTTCTTGGACCAGAAATCGATTCTGGAGTAGAGAAACAATTTCTGGGTTCCAGAAACGATTTCTGGTCTGAGGTCCAGAAATTGTTTCTGGACCTCAGAAATCGTTTCTGGGGTTCCAGAAATTGTTTCTGGACCCCAGAAATCATTTTTCGTACACCAGACATCATTTCTGGACCCCAGAAATTGTTTCTGGGATCAG